CTATGCAAGATCAGTTATTCACAAAATTCGGAATCCACTTACAGTTTGCGGAATCCGCTTACATTTGTGAATTCCGCCTACAAATTTTTCGGATTCCACTTACATTTGCGGAATTCAGAACATCTAGCTATATTCGCTTGTTGCGGAATCCGCGACAAAACAAATGTGCCGACAAAATTTACGTTACATGTATTTGTCCGCGGAATCCACGAAAGTTTTGCAAGTGGAATCCACTTACATCTTACATTTTGAAACATGTTTAAAGAGTTGTCGATGGAATCTAGGAACATACAGACACAAAATTCTGCGACTATCCAGTGCACAGTTTGGCCTCGTAATGTTCAGTTTTAAAAGTATTCATCAATTCAATTTTCATAAATTGGGCAAGAAATGTCAATTAATTACTTTCAAACCCCTGGAATTTGAAACTATGGCTATAAACATCATGGAAATCAACCTATAATCAAGTATTAATAATTATCTGTGGTGGTAGGTAGATGCATAATAAGTAGTCTCAAAACAAATAATGCCATGAAAACAGTTTGAAACTGTGTCTCTTAAGTTATGTCAGGTTAACTGTGCCTGCATGCTCAGCAAATAGAAAAATCATGACTTCTCCCAAATTACTTTTTTGTTCGATTTTCATCAAATTAAACACAGAAAATTGTTTCACAATCAAATCCAATGAACAAACAATTCAGTTTTTGTTTGTCTTATTCTGCTAATATAACTAATTACACGAAATTCAGGTTTGAACAGCGATGGTATACATTAGGCCACGCTTGGCCCAAGTTAGATCATTTTTGAGTTCCAGTATAATTGCAAATTCTGGTCCGATTTAGATTTTGCACTTCATCTCAAAAACAAAGCATAAACTTTTTAATTTCTAAAATTTTAAGTGCAGTTTAGGGCAAATAAACTCTAATATGCTTTGGTTTGCTGCCTTTTTTTACTTAACTTTGAGCGGGAAAAGTTTTAACATATTTGTTTTTTTTCCGCTCCCTGGTTATGGACTATTTGATTTTTTTGCACTGCATCAGATTGATTCGAAGATGTCCTTTAAGAATAACAAGCCTTATGTCGAAAGTTTTCAGATATGTAGGTCCTCAAAATATGTGTAACAAGATACCAGAACTAAATTTTAGAATCAAGCACTGCTCTACTTAATCCGTTGATTTTGGAATCGAAACAGGACTGCGCGTATATCAGTTCCATCTGACTGGTCTTCATATTTTGTTAAACTATAACTTTTTTCTCTCTCCCAACAGCCAATATCAATACAAACTGTTAAACGTTTACTTTTATAGGGATTTAAAAGATCAACCAGCTCGACTAATTTCAAATTCGAACGGTTTTAAATGATGCATCTTTGATAATTTTCAAACTTCTAGCACTTCACCAGATATAGTCGCAAGTAGAAATTATAAGTTGAACTCTGGTATTCGATATGTTCATTGGGGTACAAAATTTGTTGAAAAATATCATTTCTATCGCAGAAATTGGTCTGAACCAAAAAATCACCAAGCATTATATATTCCGTTACTTTCTTTAAAAGTCGGAACATCCAAGTCAACGAGTATTCTAACAAACGATGAGAAATGATGCTTTTTCATTATTTTTGTTAAGCTGTAGGAATTAGTTTTCACTGTCAGTTTATCAGCATGTCAAGCAGTTTTTGAAGTTTTTTTCGCATCTGATGTGTTAATGGAGTTTAAGTAACTTGTTATACTGCGTTTGCTTAAAAAAATCTTGAAAGGTTGGAGACCAGTTAACAGACTACTAGTTTTAATGAGAACGCTGAAATAAATAAATAACTAAATAAATTCAATTGCAGCAAAGTCACAAGACTCATAACAAATTTACCACCATATTATTTACAAACTAAAAGGTTCAAATTAAGGTAGCAACTCTATCTAGGATCAGCCACAGGCATTCGCCCTCACGACGCTGACCCTAATGTCTGGGTATTGCAAAAACATTCTTTTTTTCCCGAAGAAAATAACCAATTCAGATGGCGAATGACAAGTTGAACTAATTTGATAATTTTGAGCGCATTTTTTTGTACTGTTTCAACTCGAAATCCCTTAGTACCATCTCTGGTAGCAGTATTCCATTTGTTATCATGACATTGATCATAGAAGTTGTCAAAGCAAACACGAGATCATAGTTTTGCCAAAAAAAGTCACTAGCAAAAGTGTTTTGGTTCAGAAACTCGCTAGAAGTAGGTCCGTGTAACCGGTTTGTTTAAATTTCTTGAAATTGTTCACTTCATGGTTACTGCTTCTGCTAACTGTGACTTGTGCCTATAGTCTCCAAAACCCCTGTAAAACAGAATAGAGACTTTTGCACAGAAGACACCCAACTGAGTACATGCGGCATTAACCAGTGAACAAGTTCAGTAGGGTTTTCAGTTTACTTAATGCAAACTAAAACCCGAAATCAAGAATTTTTTATGAATTATTGTAAAGCACGCTCCACCATAAAACTTGGTTGTAGAGTAGCGAAGCTTTTTATCGAACTGCTCTCTCAACACCCAAATAGTTAGTGTAAATTTCATTGTTTTTAGTTTTTAAACACAATGTCGTGTAAATCTTTATCAAAAATATGTAAAACTAAAATCCTGTGAACATTGCAATTGAATCGATATCGACTATCAAATTCAGGTATATTTTCAAATTCACTCAAAGCGCTAAAGTAGTTGTATACTTTATTCATCCTATTGTGTAGCAATAATTTTACGCCTGCTCTTTTATAATGAAAAAAAGCATAACTTGGGGATCGTCTCAAAGTCCGACTGGATTTTTCAAAAGCTGTTTGACCACCTCTTTGAAGAGTTCATACAAATGCAATTCAAAAACACAGGATATTTTATTTCAATCATCAGGTTCGGAAAGGAATCACGGTATTGTTTAATAAAATCCTTTCGGTCGACTTCTAACAAAATTGACAAATATGCCAGAGAAAACGCGACAAAAAGGTAGATCGTTTTTTGTGAATCCTATCTATCCAAGCTGTTTGTGCTTAATTGGAAAATCTTTTATGGCTGAATGATCGAATGAAATTAAATACTTCTTCAGCCTATCAGAATTCAGCAATTTTTTTTAAATTGTAAAAACACGTGGATCTTCCAACCAGAAATTGTGGCGGTATACAGATTCTTGATTGGTGGGATATCATATGCCATGCGACCCTTCTTCCAAAAACTAGCCCCAATATATGTTGCCTGTTTGAAATAATCATTCACTTTGAATACAGCATATGTGCCTAACAAAGCACAGCTCCCAGTGACACCAGTAGCGGATTTAGGGGGTCCCCCTTTGTACTATTTTGGGATATCCATTTTTGGCTGACGAACCCTAAAACTTTTAGAAAGGCGCCTTTGGCGCGAATATTTACTACTAATTTTGAGGTGTAAGTGCGCTCCAAAAAACCGTGAATTTTTGGTCAAAAATTTTCAGGGGCGGATCTAGTATTTTCTCGAGGGGGAGGCGGATTTTAAGAAAAAGTTTCAAAAATTTAGTCGACTTTTTTTACGATCATCCAAATCAATATTCTGAGCTCTCCCAAATCACTTTAAAGACCCTATTTTAAAATTGAAAAAAAAACAGGCCAAAAGGCGGTTTTAGGCGTTTGATGGAAAAATTTGATTAAAAAATTGCGTTTTTTCGGGGCGCATTCACCCCTCAAAATTAGTATATATTGGCGCCTACAGAAAAATTTTAGGATCCGTCAGCCAAAAATGGATATCTCAAACTAGTAAAAAGAGGGGATCTTTTGCGTCGGCAGGGGGTCGAATCCTTGAGGGGGGAAGAAAGCATCCACCGATGAACCCCCCGCACCCGTAAATCCGCCCCTGAGTTAAACTGTACTGGTAGCCCACAATCTCGTTAAAGCAGCCTTTCATTCGCATAATAACATTCGTTGGAGCCTCTGATATTTCTTTGAAAAACCGCCCGCCTCACTTTGGCGTCTGAACTAATTGGCGATCGAAATGATTGTTTTCAAAGGAAATTTTTTTTACCCCAGATTTTTAAACCCTAAGATATTAACCTGAATTCCAGATGCAAGAGATATTTTTACGCGCGATTGTTTTTTGCTGAAGCTCTAGGGAATAAAAATGCCAGTTTGGCCATGTTTTTGGTCTAACCAGCTTTTAGGAAATAATTTATATTTGCATTTGAGGTGTTGTACTTTATTTCAATGTCCAATTAGAAGATAAGAGCTTCGGTCAATTGTCCAATTGGACCGGTATCCAGTTGAAGTTGTCTGTAGTTAGACACCGGACATCAGTTCCAACTATTCCGGATGCCTATTAAAATCAGTGTCAGGGAATTTTTTTTGTCCCAAAACATTGACAGTAAACATTTTAAATATCCGTTTATTTTAATAATTCTTCCGCAATTTCAGGGAGAAAAATTCTGCTGACACATTTTTGATTGGCTTAGTGAATTATTTAAATACTACCGCAAATTTCCTGCCGAATTGTTGGTATTTCTTGTTTTCAGCTTTTACAATTTCTTATTGGTTTATAAAAATATCGTATTAGCTCTGAAGTTGCAAAATTTTTAACCAGAAAAGTCTGTTACATACCTTTTTGCTTACTTTAAAAACCTTTTCATTTTGTTGTAAAAAACTGAATTTTCTACCCTTTGACTTTCATATTCTTCTTTTTATTACTGCAAAACTAACCTTTAATGCAGGAAAAGGAAAAATATAAATGTTTACTTAGAATGCTTTAAGTTTTGGGAAAATTATCAATTTTCGATATTGTTGAACTAAACCTGGAGCCATTTAGTTTGTCTGAAGTCATCAGATCCAAGTTTTGTTTTACAATCACATCCTGTAAATGTCTTCAGCTCCTCGCTTTTTTTAAATTGGACTGAAATTCGACTTGTCATTTGAAAATCTAAAAATAATTCATTAGCAATAAAATGTCGAAAAGAATTCAGTACGCATCATCGACTCAAAATCCTTTATTTCACCCTCTCGAATCGTCAGGAATGGCGTCTAGCAATGGGTCTGCAGATCAAATCCCATCCGGATCTTTTTTGGATTTCACTGAGCCAGAATGCTCGGTGATTTTCTTCGGATTTCTGACGTCGTCCATCATCGGCACAGCGTGCAACTTATTCTTACTGCTTGTTCTTCTAGTGAAAATGTGGTGTGAGTCTATGAATAAATCTGCCTCGGACCAGTTAGTAGCTTGTCTGACCACGATCGACCTCATCGCTTGTTCTCTACTATTTCCTCTGGAATGTGAACATTTTTCGCACCCCGATTGCAACATCGATCAAAGACGATTCGACAAGTTTCTCACTCTGTTCCTCGAACTCGCCTCCACCGGCGCTCTCCTAAACATCGCTGTGTGTCGCTATCTCATGGTATGCTGGGCTACTAGAGTTAAAGTCTCCTTCAACATCAGCTTAGTCATGAGTTCGGCAAATATTCTCATCTCTATGGCGGGTGCAGCAGCCGCTATTTTGCTGCAGACGACAGAAATCACGATTCTGATCTACTTGTTGGGGATCCTGTCAGTGATGGTTCTGATGGCACTGCTCTACTTTCTCATCTTCTGGAAACTGTACAAGCGAGCCGAAGTGGCCCGCAAACGCAGTAAAAATGCTATCCTGTCTTTGCAATCTGGTTCTCAGAAGACAGGAGTGGCGGCAACGCCATCCATTCCTCAGATTGAGTTGACACCTGTGGAACACAACGAAGACCAGGAGCACGAGGAATTGGCCAGCTCCAAAAAATTAAATCGCAATAAAGAGACTACCTTCAATAGAGAGAGTCTGAAAGAACACACGGAAGACTCGCTGCACTACAAAAAGCGCAGGTCTGTCAACTTTGTCGCAAATCCACTGGCGAGTCTAAAACAGACGAAAACTTCGTCTGAAAAGAAGTCGCACCAAGTTTCGCAGATGGAACTTATGATGAAGCGATCGGCGAAAATCTTCGTGATAATCACCGCTTTGTACATCTTTTGTTTTCTGCCTAACGCTATTTTGACTATATGTTACTTTATCATTGGACAGACATTCATAACACGAGCAAAACCGGTCATAATCGAGTACATCATCAAATACGTAAACCTGTTTTACAACATCAACTTCATTCTGATGCCGCTGGTGTATGCTATTCTGAACAGACAGTTCCGAGAGGACTGTGGGAAGCTGAAGATGAAAATGTTCGGAGGAGATTCCCGGGTGAACGGAAAGGGTTCGCGGTCGCCCAGTTCAAGGTCGCCGAGAATGAGAGCGGTGAAAAGCCGCGCCGATAGTGGTGTGACCGGAAACCATCTGGTAGCGATGCACAACCCAGATCAACTTTCAGTTGTGGTTTCAAATGTAGGCAACTCGAACATTTCCAAGATTTAGTTTTGCAACAACTTCTGTTTTCGATTCTGTTTTTTTTTTTAAAATCTTGCTGGCAAAAAAATCCTTTAAATATATTTTTAATGCATTTAATTTATTTACATTTTACTGGGCTTTTAAAAATTTTATAGAATTGAAGATATATATATTAACAATAACTTCATCTTCGGGTGTACATAAAGTTTTCAAATCGGTCAATATAATTATACATTTACATTTTGCTCCGTAAGTCATCAATTAGGCCCGGTGCCTGTTACCTGATGCTAGTATAGATCATTTTTCCTAAAAAAATTTAATTCGTGAAAGCAAGAAATATATCGAGCAATTAGTAAACAGTTTTGGGAACTCCCAAAATGCTTTTCGAATTTGGCAAGTCGATTCATTTGTTTCTTGATCCATATGTTTTGATCCATAATAGTTATTCATTGTTGGCAATCTTGAATTCATGTTGAGAATCTTTTTTCATCCTCTCCCGTCTTAATATGGTGAATTTTTAATTAATGCTTAATAGTAAATTTGTAAGTAACTTTTTCTTCAAAGTTGTCAGTTTAAATGTTTGTGTCACATGTTGCAATCAGTTTTTGATGTCGGTGATAATTTTTAATTTGACTGCTTTTTCACAGTAAAAAGGTTCATTTAAAATCAACCTTCGTTATATTATCTATTATGACATTTTAATTGTCGATTATTGATTGTCTTCACTGTTTTCCTAATTTGGGCTGTCAAAAAAGCTATGGAATTGCGATCTAGTCAAGGATAACCAGAAAAATAGATGTTCCCCTTTTGTGAAACTAACCATTTTTGCCAAAAGTAGTTTTAAACCTCTTTACTAGTACATCAGTTTCATGGTGTATTCTACTTCAGCATATAAATTTACTTTGTGATTGATATCAATTCAAACCAAATATAAGCCGGATATCTATTTTTGGCTCTTTTACTGGTGGGGTATAATGCTATATTTTTTGTGTTAAAATAACTGAAAATCAAAAAGACGACAAGCAACACGTCTGATTGTTTTTGGAGCTTTTAAGTATATTTTTAATCGCTGTTATAAATTTTTACATGTGTATTGATTAACTAATAATTGATGCGTTCTAAAGGTTAATTGTTGTTTACTTCTATGTTTTTTAAAGATAAATACAGCATATAAACCTAGGCAGGTAACTACGTTGAATTTCCAATTAGCATATATTTTTTGATCTATTAAATGAAAAAATAAAATTGAAGTACTTCAAATAATGATGGATCAATGAATATATTACTCATTCGTTCTATGTATTTCTAATTTTGACGCTGTAACTTGTAGACTTCACTTTTTGATTGCTTATCAATTTTTTCCGACCCGAGATTATCTTAAATTAAATTTAATTTTATAAATCTTTGCGTTTGCCACTAAACATGCTCTGTTATCTATTTTGGTGAAGATAGTTCTGAGTTTAAAAAAACGAGTTGTTGTGCTCATTAGTATTCGAGTTGATGTTAGTTTAGATAAATTAAATGTAAATTGCATTAAATATTTTCCCTGCAAAAAGCTCTCAATATAATTTATTTTGCGAAAAAAAATTAATTGTTTTCTCAAAGAGAATAGACTACCATTTTTAGTAACCTTTTAGTCTTTGGGCATTTAGATTTGTTAAATTAAATGGAGTGATTGGTCTTTGCTGCAAACTAATAGATAAATCAACCAATCATAAACGCAGATAAGGAATCAGTTTAAATTATTGGATCAACCGTACATCCTCCCAAAACGATTTAGGAGGGAGGAAAAAACAAATTTTTAACAGGAGAACTTTGAGGAAATTGTATCACACCTTAGAAACAAGATTAAGATTAAGTTATCGACCATAAATTAAATGTCAGCTTAACTGATTTTGTAGCCAATCAAAATATAAAATTGTATGAACAATTTCAAAATGCTTATATTTTACGTGTTTGTACGAAATGCATATTTTAAAAAGAGTTAGTTTTCAGAGTTAAAACATTGGGTAGGGCGTACTACGTTATTGTACTGTTAATCCAATTTATCTTCGCGGTTTCAGATTTTTTTATTAAATGCGATAATCAGAATCAATATTTTATCAATTATTTGCGAATCTTATTTTAAGCCGGATAGATTCGTGCAACTTCTTAGTCTAATACCATTCTTAATCTTAGTCTTATATCTCCTAGTCTCAATAGATCTAGTATATACTGGTATTTACGGGTTAGGTTTATGGAACTTGTCCAAAGGAGAACAACTGTCTTCTAAGATTTATTCAAATTGTTCTGGTGCTGAAACTACAAGTAGTTTCACCACTACAAATAATTGTCAGTGTTAGTTATGGAATATGATTGGATAGTTTTATCAATAATATAATTGGTTATAAATACTAGTTTAGAACGGGTTTTAAAAGACTGATAAAGAAAAACAAGGCTATCCAAAAATCAGCGCGGGTTTTTTCGGTTATACTTTCCATTATAATAAATAATGACACTGAAAAATTTAATTACAAAATTGGATCAGTATTACTATATTAAAATGGGATTGATCAAAAGAAGGATTTTTTTTTTGCGTCAAATTGGCTCTTTTCCTTATTTTTTAAACCGTTTTCTGCAAAAAAAAATTCGTAAAAAGGATCAAAAATGGAATTAAAATTGTCGTTTAATTAGCATTTTATACAGCTCTCTAGCTTGATTTAACGCTCGGGATATCGGTTAAGGGGATATAACTGAAAATACTCGAGCTTCTTGCAAGAACTTCGCACAACTTGAAAACAAGAACGCAAATAAAGCGGCGGTCATGGCAAAACATTTCCCTCGTCGAAAAAAAATATGATTATGATCCATTAGTTTGTTAAAGTCGATTGAAATGAATTTCAATAATTTGCAAATTTTAATATTATATTCTTTTTTATATGATTTAAACGATCAAATTTTTTTTAAAGACTGACCTTGAACATCCACTATAATCGGTTATTATCCATCCTATTTGTATCTATACTATCATCCATACTATTGATACTATTATTAAATCCTTACGATTGTTTACTATGCAATTTTGATCCCTGCTATACTCTGCTTCAGAAAGTACATTCAGTCTGAAAGTTGTGCACGCTAGTTGAGTGTTCCCTACATAAACCAAAATGCGTTATACTGATTCATTTTTAGCATGGATAAAAGTAATCGTAGTATGGATACTAAAATGGATAAATAAGGATGAATATTAATGCATTATATTGGATTTTTATTGTTAGTTCTATAAATTTCAGAAACTATCGATAGCACTCATTTCATTTTAGTCAATTCTAATCAATTATAATGATAACAAACAGTTTTTTTGTAAATTTTGCTAAAAATTAACAACACAGTGCAATATATTGAAATCTTAACAGTTGCTCATGGCTTGTTGCAATTTACATAAAATAAAAAAGGATTCATTTTGGCTTAGAAAATAGTTATTAAGTTATTCTCAAATTTTTTGTTCACAATATGTTCTGATAAATTTTTTAGATTCACGTATTTTTTTTGTTTCTTCGCTGATTTCTATTCATTTGTCATTATCAAATCCAATTTAGGTAATTTCAATATGAATCAATTGAATAATTATCCACTCACTCTATGCCGCTCCCCTACCTCACCTTTGCAATCTGTATAAGTGCATCTCCAGTAGTCTGAAAGCAACTGTGTAATTCGCCAGTTTCAGAGCTTAAAATGAATCAATAAAACTTATTTTGGTTTTGGGAAAAACGGTCAACTAGTGGTCACATTAAGTTTGAGACTGAACGTACATTCTGAAGCAGAGTATCTTATGAATCAAAATCGCATGGATAATTTTTGTAAAAATCCTAATAGTAGTAATAATAGTATGGATAATAATATGGATAAAAATAGGATGGATAATAATCAACTATATTAGATTTTCGATGTCAGTCTCTAAAAAAATCAAAGTAGGGGAGGGGAACATTCAATTACCGTGGAAAACAACACTGACACTTCTTAAAAATTCTGAAGCAGAGTATAGTTTTGATAAAAATCATTTGGATAAAAATAGTATAGATTACAAACATAATAAAAGTAATCGTAGTATGGATACTAAAATGAATAAAAATACGACGAATAATAATGCATTATATTGGATTTTTATTGTTAGTTCTATAAATTTCAGGAATTATCGATAGAACTCAGTTCAAAAGGATTATAATTCATAAGTCATGCATTTCATTTTAGTCAATTCTAATCAATTATAATGATAACAAACAGTTTTTTTTGTAATTTATGCTAAAAATTAACAACACACTGCAATATATTGAAATCTTAACAGTTGCTCATGGCTTGTTGCAATTTACATAAAATAAAAAAATGATTCATTTTGGCTCAGAAAATAGTTATTACGTTATTCTCAAATTTTTTGTTCACAATATTTTCTGATAAATTTTTTAGATTCACGTTTTTTTTGTTTTTTGTTTCTTCGCTGATTTTTATTCATTTGTCATTATCAAATCCATTTTAAGTAATTTCAATATGAGCCAATTGAATAATTATCCACTCCCTCAACGCCCCTCCCCTACCTCACCTTTGCAATCTGTATAAGCGCATCTCCAGCAGTCTGAAAGTAACTGTATAATTCGCCAGTTTCAGAGCTTAAAATGAATCAATAAAACTTATTATGGTTTTAGGAAAAACGGTCAACTAGAGGTCACATTAAGTTTGAGACTGAACGTACATTCTGAAGCAGAGTATCTTATGGATCAAAATCGCATGGATAATATTTGTAAAAACCTTAAAAATGGTAATAATAGTATGGATAATAATATGGACAAATCTAGGATGGATAATAATCAACTATATTAGATTTTTAATGTCAGTCTCTAAGAAAATCAAAAATGATTGCTTATAATATATAAAAAAGGAGTAAAATCCTAAATTCGCCAAGTAAACCAAATCCGTTTCAATCTACTCTAATCAATTAATTTATTGGGGAGGTCGTACTACGGTATTTTATTTAGGGGAGGGTATTGTACTCA